TGAGAGTGTATAGGTGTTTCCCAGGACTGGGTTAAAAGCTGAAAGGGCATCCGCTGTGTAAAACATATGCTGGATAAGTTTGAGGTACATTCTGCTGTGGTGACCTCTAATGAAGAGAGTAAGCCGAAGGAAAATGAATGAATGAATGAGTCTTAACTTCACTGACCTATTGTGTTGTAGGACTTAAATGGTTTTAAACAGGTTTTATTTTTGCTTTGTCCCAATAAAGCTATTCAAATTGGGCTGGCGTCCAACCATACATCTCAATAAAATCTCAATTTTATGTTTTATATATTTTTTTATATCAGAGATACAATTCATAACAGTTGTAAGACATTTTTACAGCAAATTCCCCGAATTAAGTTCCCTATTAATGGAAAAAAAAACCTAAAAACAATTACACGATTCCTTATAATAATAAACTTCCCAATAATAATATAATAATACCAAGCCATTAGAAAAAAAATATTAGTTCTGTATAAGTCTAAGATTTCATTCTTAATGGTCTTAAAATGGTCTTAAAAAGTCTTAAATTTGACTTGATGAAACCTGCAGAAACCCTCTATTTTATATTATACTTTTTTCCCCCAAACCTACAAATAAGCAACAACAGGTCAATATTTTTTGTATCCTGACAGGATATGTGACGGGGTGCAGTTTGGAGCAGGCATTCGATTCCTGTGATCGCAACTGCAAGGGTTTGTGGGATGCACATACTACTTTTGTAATAGTATTGGATGTTGAACACTAATTGAAGACCCCTCCTGCATGCACACCAAGAAAGCACTTTGTTTTGTTTTTTTACCCTGTAAAACAAAAAACAGAAGGTTTCCCTGCACTGTTTGAATAAGATGTCTGAAATCTGACTCTGCAAGGAGACTTCAGGTACTGAAAGGGTCTAAACTAGGCTAGGTTTCCAGTGATGAAACAAAAAAAAAAGGATAAATTTAAACCCACATCACCGTCCATCCTTATAAGACATGCTTTGTCAGTGTTAAGAAATGTGCAGTGTCAGTTTTGGGTAAAGTATGAGAGTAAATAATAGATTAATAAACGATGCATAGCCATATTACATGAACGAAGCACCTTTTTAACTGTAGTGATTTATGTTTCCGTCTGTTCTCTCCTCTAATGCCAAACTAGATTAACGAATTGATTCAAACTCACCCAATAATCAGTGACTAGTTTTTTTTCCAGCCATAAGATCCCTTCAAATCCACCAGCAGTGCTTTATTATTAGGACACTTTTTATTACTGTCTGAACTTTAAATTTGCGTTACATTGTGCACAGAATAAAACTTTTTGGTTCCCTGGTGTATTTGTTCTCATTTTTGTGATTATTTTGCTACATCAAACTGCTGAAATTGAGCTGTCGAAAACACAGACGTCTGTAACGAGGCATAGTTTATGTTGTACATGAACCGCTAATCGAAAGAAAATGACAGGGTCTGCTGGAGACATTACAGGGTGAATTTGAGCTACTTTTTCATTGTGTTAGAAAACTGTGGTTTTAGTCCCTTGAGTCCAAACACACACACACACACACACACATCAGCGTGGTGTATCAAAAGTGACTGGCTGGTCATGAACAGCTTGATATCTATCATGGAAAAATAAACTGAAATGTGTCCAAACCATTTGCAGGATCCCTCCAGAGCTAAAATACTAACCTTGAGGCAAAAAACAAACACACACACACGTACACACTTTTCAAAGAGATAACTTAATAAATCATGCTGGGATGTTCATGGGTGCAGTTATTTTAAAGTATAAATATAAGGAATTAAGTTCTATTATTATACAGTAATGTTGTTGTTATTATTTAAACATTAATTTGTATTATTAAATAATATATTATGTATTAATATTATATTATTAATGTACATTATAAATGTTTTGAATTGCTTTAGTTCTTATCTTTTAGGGAGAACCTTTTCTATTTAATTTTGACAGTCAATAGTGTTTTTTTTTCAAGTTAGGAACATTGCCAAATTGAATTCTTTTTTGACTTTTAAGGAGTTGGAAATCATCATTAATGTTTTTATTATGTCTAGATTGCACTACTGCAGCTCTTTGTATTCAGGAGTTTTTCATGCGTCAACTGTACGCCTGCAGTTCAAAATGCCGCTGCAAGGCTTTTGAGTTGGACAAAGAAAATGTTAGTATCTCACCGGTTTTATCATCCCTTCACTGGCTCCTTAAATAAATTTAAGATTCAATATAAGTTAGTGTTATTTTTTTTTAATGGTTTGAATGTTTTGGCACCTACTTACATTGGTGAGCTTCTTCACTGGCACGCATCATTGAGGCCAATCAGGTCGGAAAACCTGTTTCAGCTTGTTGTTTCTAAATCACAGTTAAATTCAAGAGGTGACATGGCTTTTTCTTTCACAACCCCTCGTCAGGTCATGCTCCTACATTAGTGCTTTTAAGTGTCAATTTTTAAAAAAATCACCAAATCTTGCTTTTTAATTGAAAATAGTTCATTTTAATTGGTTAC